AAGCAAGATGATTAGCTTGATATTTAATTTTCATCTCTCTCTCTCTCTCTCTCTCTCTCCCTCTCTCTCTCTCCCTCTCTCTCTCTCTCTCCCTCCCTCTCTCTCTCTCTCTCTCTCTCTCTATCTGTCGGATGAAGAAGCACAACAGAAGATCATTTAAGTTGACTATATGCATGCTGGAGTAAACATGCACTTGAGTAACAGAAGCAGAGAGTGTTCCCATTGGTCAACATTGGCTCAACTTTTGATCGGGACTTAGGCTTTGAGTGAAAGTTGTCCTATATAAAGGCCAGCAACTGTTGCATTTCTTCAGTCGCCCAGACCAGAGGAGATCTAGTCGGTTAGTCCAGTTAAGTGAGTGGTCGTGTGTGAAAGAAATTCTTAGAGGAAAGAGTTGGAGGAAATATTTAGAGCAGAAGAAATTTGAAGAATATTTTGAATATTTGAAGAATATTGAAAAATATTTTGAAGAAATTCTTAAAAGAAATTCTTTGAGGAAATACCGAGAGAAAAAACTTGGAGCAAATTCTTAGAGGAAATATTTAGAAGCAACTCTTAGAGGAAAGAAAGTGTAAATACTTTGAAGATATACTTAGGAAAAATACCTAGAGGAAATACTTAGGAAAAATACTGAGAGGAACCCCTTAGCGGAAAGAGTTAGAGGAAATATTTAAAAAAAAATCTAGGAGCAAAGACTTAGCGGCAATACTTGGAAGAATACTTCGAACAGTTAGAAGAAATTCTTAGCGAAAAACTTAGACAAATGTTTAATTAAATTACTTAATTTATTTATGCTAAAATTTTGTGTGCAATAGCTTTATTAAAAAGCTTCCTTTTAAAGCTCTACCTACAATTAAAGCCCATAATTTTACATCAGAAGTATTTAAACAGCTGAATGAAATTTACTAATACAATGAACCTTATATTTATTTCTTAATATAAATATGTGTAAATATGTTTAATTGCGACAGCTAACGTAAGTTTGCCGGCGCGCCCAATTTTTTTTATATATATATAAAACTCTTTAATATAAGCTATAAAATTTTATGTAATAATATCCATTTCTTTTGCTCTGGAAAGGTAAGCTCGTTAAAGGTAAACTTTCATAGTCCATCGAACCTATTCAAATGAGCCGCACTGTGGGCATACACACACATCTACATTTAACAAACTAGTTACGCAGCTAATTAAAAACGCTTTGTTTTGTCTAATTTATTTCTCTATTTTTCTTTTAACTAGCTTTTTGTTGAGCATAGTTCAGATTTAGTTGTTGTTGTTATTGTTGTTATACCCCCATCTTCTTCTTCTTCTACTCTGTCCTTTTCTGTTACATGTTGCCCAGTTTTGCTGCTGCATTAGATTACGCACGTTTTGTTGTGTGTCTAGAGTGGGAAGAGGACAGTTCTAGTGCCACGCCCCCGCTCGCCCCAGCTCCCAGGTAAATATTTAAATTATTTATGTGCCATTTTGAGGTTCGCAAACAAAAACAACGAGTGGGCGGGCAGTCGACTATGGCTGCTCCTGCTGCTGCTGCTCCTGCTGCTGCTGCTGCTGCTCCTGCTGCTGCTGTAGCTGTAGCCAAAAGGTGTGTTTGCTCATTTAACGGCATTTAATTGCATAATTTTTCGGGTTACGCTCAAATTAATTAGCCAAACTTCGTTTGGGGCGTTGTGTGGCAGCGTTCACTATTCATATTCAATTTGGCTAACGCCCGCAGCCGTCAAAACACTGTTTCAAGGTCATAGACAAAAAAAAACATTAAAGCTACAATCGACCGTAGAATACTCATTGAATATTCATTTTCCGATTTTCCCGCTCCCAATGGATATAATTACATTATGCAAATCAATCGAGAATGCCAACATTAATATTATTCAATAAAACATTAATTTAATTTTGTGTTTGAATCTTGAGAATCTTGCTCTAAAGCTCTTGAAAATATATGTATATATATATATATATATATAATTTTTCCCGATTCACCATGCCCCTAATGTTCGTATATCGTATATACGCTTACCCGATTTATTTGGGTATGCCAAATTGAAACTCTTTTTCTATTTTCCAAGCCTCAAGTCTCTAGCTTCGATAGCGGCGAAATGGTTTGGATTTATGCGGGTAGAATCACAGACGGACCGACAGACAGATGGCAACACGAACATTTTATAAAACTGATATGCTCATTTCACTTTCGTGAGTAGGTATAAAACAACAACAACAACCACATTTAACAGTTGAAACAACAAAGATTCGAGCCACGATGACTGAGAACTGAGGTAGCTTCGAATCAAACACATTTTCACACTTGGCTACATTTAATTAAAGTTTCCCAATTGTCTGTGCGTGCGCGTGTGTCTGTGTGTGCGTGCGTCTTCTTCTTCTTCTTTACAGTTTCTTTTGCATGCGGGCTGCCAATTTGGTAAAGCATACAAGTCGAAGTGCTAGCAAGTTTTCTTGGCCTTCAACTGTGCCATAAATAAAATGCAATAAGCGCCACATCCGACTGCAAAAAAAAAAATCCACACCACCCCGGCACGCCCCCTTTTGACAAGGCTCTTCTCACGCCGCCCAAGCAACATGAAAAGCATTTTCAATAAATTTTCTTATACCACAGGGCATGCAGCTGCATACAAGTGCTCATATGTGTGACTATGTGTGTGTGTGTGTGAGGGTGTGTAAGGGTGTGTGACTGTGTGTTACACATTTCACATTTCAATTCACAAATTCTCGTTTTTTCTTGCCTACTTTTAGGCGGCCATTGAATTGCATTGCCTTAATATGGGTTTTATATGCAAAAAAGCTAGTACTTTACCAGCGTACGTACATATTTACATCTACATATATATGTATATATACGCGTGTGCCTGTGAAGCACCTCGCACACAAATATATTAAAAGCCTAATTTATTGGCTGACTGACATGCAAAGCAGCTATAAATAAACGTTGATAGGGTATATTTCTGCTATTTCTTGCATTGCATTTACCAAAGCGACTGAAGGACGTGGAAAACGAGAAATATGTAGGTTAAATAAATAATTAATTATTTACAAGTGATTTGTAATTTTTTTATAAATTTTCAGCCTAAAAAATTAATAAGTAAAAATTTGTATTTTTAAGAGATTTCTAATTTATATTAATCTTTAATTTTATAGCCTAGTAAATTTATCAGTAGAAATTTATGAGGTTAGAAAACAATTCCAAAATCTAATTAACTGATTCTGTTTATTTTTTAAATATTAAAATAAACAAGTTGAGTTCAAAAATAGTACTACATACACTATTACGCGCATTATATTTAAATAAAT